GTTAAAGGCCCTGGCCTTCATCAGTCTACAACACACACATACACAGACAGAGCATTACGCCAAACTCCTCAAACACAGAAGCTTGGTCAGAGCCCTTCTGCGTCTGACAGAGGTGGAAGAAGTAGTCAGGTTATTTCTTTAAGTAAAAGTCGCAATACTACAGTGTAAAAATGCAAATAAAAGAACTGCATTCAAAATTGTACTCAAGTAAAAAGTAAAACACTAAGTACCTAAAGTTCTCATTATGCAGAATGGCCCATTGAAGCAGCATATCTTTGTAATTGTTGTATTATACTTATTGATGCATTAATGTGTTCATCACATTTCAATACAATTGTATTTGAATTACTTTAGTTACTACTGGGTGGCTTTAATAATATATGATAATGTATTAGTTGATTTACATTTTTGTATAAATAACATAAATCTGCAAAGTGACTAGGAGAGAAAAAGTATAAATTAGCATGAAATGAAAAGGCGTGTGGTGCAGTGGGTGGTGCGTTGGTGTTCGGATCAGGGGGTCACAGGCTCAAACCCCACTGCAGTCAGCATGTCATTGTGTCCCTGGGCAAGACACTTCACCCCAAATTGCTCCTGGGGATTGCCAGTATTGAGTATGTTAGTCGCTTTGGATAAAAGCGTCTAACAAGTGACATGTAATGTAATGTAAATACTCAAGTACAACAAGTGCCTAAATGTTTTACTTAAGTACAATACTTGAGTAAATGTTAAAAACTGTCAGTTGTACACTTTAGGGTCTGTATGAAAGGAACAATGCTTTGGATAAGGGCTACTAACTAGCCCCGACGTGTTCACCCATCCCAAATACTAACCCTAGATCAACCAGGTGAGCCACCAATGGTTTTTTCTGACAAGACTCTCTTCATGTAACGACCGGAAAACAATGGTTTTATTTGAAACACTTAATGTATGAGCTGAAAGTGACATGTCGCTCTTGACTCATTCAAAATGTACGTAAGAGCGGTACCTTGAATGCCACATTTCATTTTGGAGCTAATGCCACTGACAAGCTGAGGAAATTGGACGAGTTGGTAGTGAGAACGTGGTTTACTGACAACAGAGTATTGTAGGATTTCACTGACTTGTCATTGTTATCCTGGATGTCTTTCTTTATTCCGGATATGTTTGAGTTTACAGACTCCACATCGGAGGTTGCTCTGTCCAGTGTGCCTTTGCAAGTATCCAGCTGCAAAACCAGAGAGAATCAATTTAATAATAACGACATTTGAACCTTCTTTTATAGCACGACCCACAATTGAAACTATCTGTTAACAGGATTTCTGAGTTGGTGCTGGTGGGTCAAAGACTGACCTCATCCTTCAGCCTGGTGCAGTTACTCTCCTGGTCCTTCAGATCCTGCCGCAGCCTCACAGCCTGACTTTTGGACATTGTTATCTTCCTCTCACTTTCCTTGTTGTTGTTTCTCTGAGTGTCCAACAATTGCTTCTTCTCTATTACGGTGGCATTCCTCTCCCTGATGTTCTGGTTGGACTGGGCTAGTTGCTGCACGGATGAAGGAACAACACAGGAGTATACACTTGTTCACAATAAGTTGGCTTCTTTTGTTTAAGGGTTTATACGCATTCATTCAGCATATGGTTTATCAGCAGAAGCATATGGTCCAGATTTTACCAGAGCACACTGCTGCATCTCAGCATCTCGTTGCTTCATCTGCTTGATGGTGTTTTCCCACTGGTGGATGAGCTGCTGTGTCTCGTGGTGGGCCTGCTGCAGATTTTCTGTCATTTTATCCAAAGCAATCTGTTCAAAAAGCAGAAGAAACGTACATTTTCAATGGAGATACTCAGATGAAGGGTGGTATATCCTAATGAGCCTTAATGTGAAGAGGAGTCAAATCTGAATGGCTGAACCGGGTTTTCTTTTGTAACTGTTTTTGGTTTGGCAGGCAGTCCAGAAACACACATTTATATGCAAGAACTCTGAAAAAGTGACTTTTTTACATGACGTTAGCCTTTAGAAAAATGAAATTGATCTAAACATTGAGGTGGTACAGTTGTTGCTTACCTGTGCGGATATAGTCTCAGTCAATTCTTTGTCGAGTGCTTTGCGCTTTTCATTGGCCTCCAGTGTCTTCTTCTCTATAGCCAGCGTGAGCGCCTTTATCAGGAAAGATTACAAAGCTCCAGATCAGTTGTAAACAGCAGTTTAGTTTGCTGGGAACAGAAACAATGTGCACATGTGAAATAATACAGCCCTCTCACCTTGATCCTCTGCTCATCCTGCTCAGCGTACTTGATGATGGCCATAGTGTGCTCATCTCTGCGCGCTGACTCCTCTAAAAAGGAATCCATGGTCTGCTGGTCCCAGCTCATCTGGCTCCTAAACATCTCGAGCTTCTGTTTGGCTTTGACGATATTGTTCTGAGGATATAGAAAAAGGTTACGTTGCACACTTTGCACCCTCTTGAATAGCTGTTTTATGTTCAAAGTCAATGTTGTAGACCTCCAGCAGGTTCCTCCTCTCTGCTAAAGTCCGAAGGTCATTCTCCATCTTAGCAGTCTCCTGAGCCAGGCGACCTCTCTCCCTTTCGACGAGAGCAGTGAGGTGTTTCTCCATCTCTCCTTCGCTTTCCTTCGCCTTGCACAGAGCCTATGTGCAGAAAAATACAACACACTGACTATAACCAAAATATTTGTGGTGACAAATAAAAAATAAAAAATAACAACGTATTTTGATATACCTACCTCAGTATTTTCCAGCTCTTGTTGAGCCCTTTTGAGGTATTCGCTCAGTATCTGCTTCTGAGTCTTGTTTCTCTCAAGTTTGTTTTCCAGTTGCAGCGCCTCTGCCTCTTTTTTACGAATCTGTTGTTGAGAAAGTCACACATTAAAAACACAACATTTCTTAATAAGTGTTTTGTTCTTGTGAACGCACATATTAGAGCCATATTGTTAAAATGCTTACAATGTCATTATTACAATGTGGTTGCAGTGTAGAGCACGGTATAATAGTTATTGAGTTAACTTAATGTGTATCAAATAGTCTCAAATAGTCCGCTTTAGTCATGTTGCCCCTCATTGTATTAATTTGTCAGCTATATATTCTTATTTTGCGTCTTTTTTGTGTTATTTGGAGTAGCTGTAGTGTATATTTCTTGTTGGTTTGTGACTATTTTCCATCCTTTAGCATCTCTTTGTGGCAATTTTGACGTGGCCTCTGTGGTGATTTGAAGTGTCTCTGTTTCATATTGGGTTGTTTTTGGTCATTCTGCGGCTCATTGTGGTTTTTTGCAACATTTTAGTTAAGCCACCTGATGCTGTGCCCGGCTTGTCCGTTTAGTATAACTTGAAAGATGACTGCCACAAATAAATAAAAATTGTAACAGAGCAAACATGTACCTATGCACAATTATGCAGACATTTAAACATTTTGTAAACGTTATTACAGTGCCTTTTTTTACACATTTTAAGAGCTTAAAAATGTGTGAAAAAACATATTTTTTCACACATTTTTATATTTTAGGGTCAATTCTCATTTCCTATGCGTGACATAAATAAGTTGTTTATTTGTTTCATTAAGAAGACAGAAAACATGTTTGCTTGGTAACGTTTCCCCTCAAAAAGTAGCAATAAAACTTAGTCAAATGTATAAAGAGCCCTTAGGGTCACAACAATTTGATGTATGGCTTTTTTCAAATGAATGTATTTTTTGATGAAATAAGTGTTGTTAAATAAAAACCCATTTTTGTGTCCTTATTGGATAAACCAGCAGACACCAGATAGCCTACTCATTTGAACGCCAACTACACCAACCCTTTTTTCCTTGGTTAGAGAATTGTTTGACGGTCCCTAACAAAATATAAGTTATAACTTTTAAATGTCAAACATAATTGTTTAATTAAACAGACTAAACATATATCAGTTATTACGTTAAGCTAACTCAAAATTAACTGGTTTTATTCGTGTTTTCATAAATAAATATAACTGCTCCGACTCACCTGTTCCAACAAAGCCTTGTTTTCAGCATTGAGTTCAGGGATAGCAAAGCGCTCATCCCAGCTCATGTCAGATAAAACGGTATTCATAATAAAACTCGACATTTTTCTGCACTGTTTAACTCAGCCTCTCTAAACTAAAAAAATAATAGGTGAAGGTGATACTGTCTTCCGCTGCATTCACAATAAACTGCTGCTATCAGGGTTTCTCGCTCGCCAGTTTTCTAACTGTTACAACCGCTGTCTGTTGTCAGTCGCCCTTAGCAACCGCACGTGCCTCAAGCGTTATCACCACAAGGGGGCAGCGCGAGCACGTCACCTCACATGGTCCAGTCCATTGAGCTGCAGAAGTATGACGTGAAGTGTGCTTTTAAATCTCAATTAAATGACTACGTGTCAATACTTTTTAACATGGAAGTTGTTGACACATAGAACATGACATCTCAAGAGATGACACAAAACAGATATTACAAATACGTTAAAAAGAGGAGAAAAGTCACTACCCCATGTCAACTCATGCATATGGTATCTCCCTAAAATCACATCTGTTGACATTTTCTTGAGGGAAGTCTAATTTATGAGTTACTTTGGTATAAACGAAACAAAAACATAGGGAATATGTCCAATGACAGTGCTTAATAATCAACTATAACAAAGACACTCTTGTATCTTTCAATGGATGTAAAGTTTGTGTGTTAATATATATTACGTTGGTTTCTTACACAAAAACCTGAATCTAAAGTAAAAGTTAAAATGAAGTTCTTTACTCTCTATGTTAAAGTATAAGTTGTATTAGTTAGGGCAAATTACATGGCAATCATAACAATTACTTGTACTAAATCATTACCAAAACATACTTTTTATGTTAGAGGACCATTTAAACAAATCTAAATAAGAACGTTCTTCTGGCTTATTAAAGACTCCTGAACGCACTAAATCATAACCTACATAATTCACTATCTAGGTTACTGGGGATGACTTTTACTCATTGTTTTTATACACAAACAAACAGAGGCCTGGCCGCTTTAAAGATACCAAATTGAAACATTTATTTTATCTTTATACATTTGTGTTTAAACAAAACAGCATTATGCTTAAAAAATTACAATCAATGTTTTATACTGACTTGTCGCAACAAATGTATCCATAAAACAAAATCAGGAATGCACACAAGAGTATTAAAATTCAATATTTAAAGAACGACATCCCCTTGAGAACCCTCGTGTTTTAGATTACAATTCAAAAGTGGGTCTTTCTACCTGCTGTAGAGCGGACCCCCAAACATCCATGGACCAGGGGGGAGGCCAAGATGGGGACTCCTCTCTAGTTGGCTTGAGCGCACACAAAAAGCTGAATACTTTAGATAAAAGTTTCAAACCACCACAAGTTGACCAACAAAGAGATATGCCTTTTTTATATATGTAAATACACACACACATGTATAAAGTCTCTGCTGTGTAAAATATTTCAGTCCTGAGGGTTGAAAAGGCAACATAGTTCTCAGCTCAGTGCGGTCCCCTTGTCCTCCGTTAGCTGCGGGTTTGATTTGTTAGAAACTTCACATCCTTTTAGTGAGAGCGGTCCTTAAACTGCCGTGCTTTTGGTCCCGATGTGTGGTCGTGCAAACTCCACAAAGTCGTCAATAAGGACGGGCCAAGCGCCTACAGAACGAACACACAATTAAATGAATGACTCCTCTTTGGATGAACACATGATTATAGACTGTGCTGAGATATTAATACTGTAGAACCATACTAGGCCTGTGTGAAGCAGAGCAGAGGCACTTAATCTAAAAGAGTGTGAAGGAACAATCACAGGTCATGGCCGAGCGCATGCACAGTGATGAATGGGCTCTATTTCAGCCGAGCATGTGTACAAACCTTCCTCGTCATAATTCGACATGTCATCTGTGATCATTGTGCTGAAGTCTAGTAAGAGGTTCCAAGTGTCCTTAGGAATTGATCGTTTGTGGTGCTCCTGCAAAAGTGGAACGAGTCAATGAGAAGGAATAACATTTGCATTTTTTTGAGTAATCTTGCGTGTGTGTTCTTTTTTTTAACTTACAACTAAAAATCTGTTCCACAAGTCCAGGAACTTGAATCTTCCAGCCAGTACTAAATTCCAATATGCAATTGCCATTTCTAAATCTGTACGAGAACCAGAATATGTTAATGTACATATTTGACATTAGTGTTTTTTAATGCTTTTTTGGTGCTGAATGACATTTATTCCCAAGAAAATGTATATGCACATCTCTGGTAAACACCATATTTAATGTAGTCGAACCTCAATTTTAAGATCCTTTTATTGAATCAACTATTCCATAAATGATCGTCTAAGTGTTAGTAGATTAAGAAATTATTTAGTGGAGGACAGCCCTGGTCCATGCAACAAACAAACCATGATGACGATGTGCATTAACAGAATTCTTACCTAATCCTTTCTGGCCAGGATTCTTTGCAAAATTAAATGTAAACTGGTAAAAGTCCTTAAATTTCCCTTGGTCCTTCAACTCTTGATCCATCTTTGGCAGCTGAGATTTTAGCTTCTCTATGGTGTCACACCTGGGAACAAACAGAGAGCAGAATGTCATGTTTGGGTCGACAAAGACGAATGTTTTTTTCCATTTGAGTTTGTTTCCAACTTGTTTGTTGTTACACAAAGCAATTCTTAAGATGCATGCGTACTGTATGTATAATGACAACTTTGTAACAGAAAATAAAGTATTTGGCTTATATTCATCATCTTCCAAAACAATGTCTAGAGCCTCTCTATAGGGACACTAATTTGTTCTGCATGCTCTATCCATATAGAATATTATTTATAGCAGTGTTTCCCAAAGTGCATGAGGGGCTGTGGTGGGCTGCAGCTTGGGATATAAATACAAATTCTTAAAACAATAAATGATTTGTTCATAAATTAAAAACAACTTAAATAAATCAAAAATAACTTATTATATGTTACATTAACTAGACAGTTAGTTTCCCACACTGCAGAAGCTGCATTGATGGCGACTGTTTCAGATGCTAAGAAATAACCACCTAGTTCGGTTTTTATATAACTTCCAGTCACTTTTTGTGAAGTATAGATTCGGAATATTGAGAATAATTGTATTTTAGGCTGAAACACAACCACACATTTGTATCCATGTCGTTCATAATTGACTTTAACCATTTTAACTGTACTTATTAACTGCGTCTAGCTGTCTGTGTCACTTTCTCTAACTTCCCCCTTTCACTCTCTCCCTCATCTCAAATTAAATTATGATTTATAAATATTAATTGTAGTATTGAAAGTTTGCTGGAACATTTGCATCGTTACATTTTTGCCATATATACTTGGCAGTGTTTGTAAAGGCCTATGTTCATGTCAATCCTCCAAAGTGTGGGAAGTTCTCATATGTAGTTAAGTAGCTCTTTGAGTTTGATGATAAAGTCCATTTACAGACACCTACAGATAACAGAGGAGGAGTTTCAGGATTATTTGAACCATCTGATAATATAATCTCACCCCTGTTCAGCCATGCCCTCCATGAATTCCTGTTTTGAAAACTCGCACTGTGTTGCTGCCCTGAACTTCCAGGCTATGAGGAGGACACTGATGCTGGCTGGGTCCAGAGCCAGGTCGTCACAGAACTGCTGGATCCCATCAATGCCGATCTTATTGTCATCATGGGGATCTTATTATGAAAAAAGGAGAGCATTGATTAATTACATCACAGCCAAATGTCATGTTTTGAAATGAAAAAAAACACTCAAAAGTGTCTGTGTTTCACTGTGTGATTTATTTCTATACTGTCTATTGTTAACAATCTGGATATCACATGGACAATTCATGTGGTGCATTATCCTTATACATTGAAAAGGACATACCTCTATATCTGTTGTACAGCTGGTCGAGCTTCTTCTTGTCTAAGGCCCCCTTGAGATTTGATACATAGAGCTCTGGACTTTGGAAAAACTTGTCAGTGGCAACATCTAGTTTCCAGTCATTCTGTGACAGGCAGGTCAGTGCAGTCTTCTCATTGGATTGTGTGAAAATCATGAACTGGCGAACTTTATCCTTCTGTGAGGACTTCAGCTTGTTCTGGACAAAGACATACACAACATGTGTTGTTACATCAACACACCAATACACATTTGATGAATAGCAAAAACATTATTTCTCTTTTGTAACTGCAGAACTCTTACAATCTAAAATTACCTAATAAAAGTATGATAGTTGCTAGCTTCAAAAACACTTCAACATGGTTTAACACATACGAAATAACAGCGTTAAGAGAACTAGAAATAACATGCTAACATGACAGCAGATAACGACTTGCAATGTGTTGACTGATTGGCTAGTGTCTTTTTTTTGTTGTTGACAACACTAAACAAGCAATCTAGTAATAAAATGCTGCCAACAACAATAGATAGCTTACGGTGCTGCAGTGTGTGGAACCTTAGCTAATTGTGTTTGTCAGTGTGCTTAGCAAGCTTAGCGAGCTAACTAGGGGAGCTGGCTAGTCTCACCCGGAGCTAGTTAGCTAATGCTAACGTCGAGAGCTAGGTTTGTTTTCATTATGTAAAGGCAGTGTGAGGTCATTGCCGCATGCTATTGACTATATAAATCACCAGAGAGTAAAAGTGTATGTTTGCAAACACTGTATACATTTTCATCACGGCAACAGAATTAAAACACTCATCTCTTACCATGTTTGTCTTTGCCCGACTCCCTTTCCGCCCATCCAGCTGGCTAACGCGTGTAAAGTTTTTACAAGTCGCATAAAAAGCTCTTCCGGTTGAACCATCATTAATTAAAAATAAAAGGTTTCTTCTTGTTTATGCTATATCCTAAAGTTCTAAATTGTATTTGTTTCACATATGTACCTTATATATTACACACATTATGTGTTGAGTGTTGAGTTCTCAGACGAAATTTGATATACTAACAGGTGCGCATTTTATTTTGAAGCAACTTGTCGGAAGTGGCTTCAGAAATCGTGAAAATAAGCTCCTTCCTCTTACCTATGTGTGCGGAATATCAGACGTCTATCTGAATGTTAAGGCGTGCTTTAAACAGAGTTCAGGACAACTGGAAATCGTACAGACATCGGTTTGTACCTTGGGTTGTTCTGAACCTGTCTAAAAATGAGAAAACTCTGCGGCAGGTGACGGACCGCTCTAAAGACAAGCTGGTCCCAGATCAGGAAGTTTCAGAGAGCCTGCTGCAGCTCTTCAGTGTCCTGCTCAGGAGTCATGGGGCTGACCATGGGGAGCTTCGAGGGGCTCAATCTCATCTTCTCAGAAAGGAAACCACTAAACAACACCAGTGTGAAGAGGAGGCAATGTTACGATCGCTAGGATTCTGCATTGCACGGAAACCCAGCACTTTACCCTTTGCAGGAACTGGCGTGTTTGTCACCAAAGGATGTATATCAAAAGGAGCTACAGTGGCCATGTACCCTGGCACAGTCTATCAAGTCTATGAGCCAATTCTCCTCCAGTCCATCAGAAACCCATTTGTATTCAGGTGCATTGATGGGGTCCTGATTGATGGCAATGACAAAGGCATCTCCAAAGTGGTGTTCAAGTCCTGCAGTGGCCGGGACAGAATGGGGCCCTTCTTGATGAGTGACACCAGTTGGCTGACCTCCAGTTCACAAAACCCACTTGCTGTTGGACAGTATGTGAACAACTGCTCCAACGAGTATCCTGCTAACGTTTGCTACCAGGAGTTTGACGTGCCAGACAAATTTCCCATCAAGCTCCGCCAGTATCTGCCTAATGTCAACTACAGCACAGACTCACAGAGGCCCCTACGCTGTGTTGTCCTTGTGTCCCTCAGAGACATCACAGCAGGGGAGGAACTATTCTCCAACTACTACACCATTGTGCGTTAGAGTCAGAGTACACTTACTGTACACTGTTCTGCTTTGGTGTTGGAAGTGAAGAAAACATTTACATTTTAAAATGTTATCATTGCCTGGAGAAAAAAAACATTTATTAAAATATTTCTCTTTGTACTCTCAGCGTTACACTTGAATACATGCAAAACATGTTTATATGGATTTCTATAACATGCAAGAAATAAAACTGCTCTTATTTAACAGTTGAAAGGTATTTTGTTGTTGAAAGGTATTGCAAGAAAATATTGGAAAACAGGGTACATAGGATCAGTTCGTGTGCAGAATAGGCATTGGCTGGGGTTTAAGCTGGCTTTTTTTTTAAGCAGATAAAGGCGTTGTGTTGATCATTAAGTATTGTGGGGATAACATTCTTTTTCAGTTCAACACCCAGGCCAGATGCCACGATACTGCTACTAAGGTTGAAAATGTTCAAGAGTGAAATTACTTTTTATTTATACCAACATAAATTAGACAAATAATGTGATAGGATTAACAAAAGAGTTATAGGTCCAACTTGATGAGTGGCGTGAATCCATATCATATAATAACCCTCCATATACCAATGTCCCAAAGGAGTGCACACCAGACAAGCCGCACCATAGTTAAACATGATTTTGTTGAAATTTGCTTTCTAGTGTTATCTGGGCCTAGAGTAGTATGGTTTGAATCAAATGAATAAAAAAACATTTATTTATGTTCTTGGATTGTTAATAATTATGTATTAAAGCGGCCCTATTATGCTTTTTGGGGTTTACCCTTTCCTGTACAGTAGTGTGTTATATAGGTTTTTATGCATGTAAATGGTCTGCAAAGGTTGAAATCCCAAAGTTTCCAAATCTCCAAATCCCCAGCTAACCAATCAGAGCAGATTGGGCTCTCAAGTAGAGTACCTCATAATTTCGTAACTTTCCACCACTATCACCTGCTTGGTAACGGAAACTTACAGAAACAGGGTGCAGTCATACGAGTATCATGAGTTAACCTGTTGCAGGGGCGAGGCACCAGACACAGCATAGTTGGGAAATACAGGGCAATACAGTAAAGAGCTTATTAACAGCATATTAACAAAATGGAAACCCTCCCAATAAAAAATAATAAATAGCTAAACACACATACTACATTTTAGCCACTTCTGAAATAAAAAAACCTGAAACACTATTGACACCAAGCTATGGTTTGACATAAAGCAAACACAGGGAAATGTTAAGGTTATTGCTTTCACCCATGACACACCCCTGTTACATACAATAGGGATATGTACATGTCATTTATTGTTGGATGATGTTTTAAAGGTCCCATGTCATGGCCATTTCTACTGATCATAATTCCATTGTTGAGGTCTACTAGAATAGATTTATATTGTGCAATTTTCCAAACTCACATTGGTTTTACATACAGCATCTCTGTATAGTATGTGTATTCACTCTCTGTCCTAAACGGCTTGTTGGAGCTCCTGCCCCCCCCCCCCCCCCCCCTCCCTGTGAGCCCACTGTGCTCTGATTGGTCAGCTCGCCCACTCTGTTCTGATGAGTCTACCACCGTTACAGCGGAACATCAGTGATTATGTGTTACAATGGCGTTAGCAACCAGAAAATGACACCAGTAAGGACAAACAGATGAGAATGCTGCGTGGGGTCTGGGTGCCGTGTTGGCGGGACGTTGCGCAGCTCGCTGCTGCGAGGAGCGGACAGTGTGAGCTGGGTTCATTTCCTGCTTGCTGCGTGGGATCTGCGAGACAGCGAAACATCGCGAATGGACGCGGGAAGGGGGGGGGGGGTGCTGAGGGGGCTGCATCACCCCCATCTGCGAGGCTCCACTAGCACCCGCACCCCCCCCCCCCCCCCCCCGCACCCCCAAACGCGGCGCACCTACAGTGTAACGGCCCGTCCACACGCTTCTGCCCATTCACTTTGAATGGGGTGACGTCATGCTTTCCGTCGCTTCGCTTTGCTCGCTCTGCTCGCTTCAATAGTTGAGCAATGTTCTACTTTTGAAGCTTCGATGGAAGCGTCAGCCAATCAAATCATATGCCAGTACAAGCTCTAGCCACTCAAACCGCGTGCTTGTGTGTCCGGGGCGGGAGATTCATGTGATTGGTTGTTGGTCGAGTTTCAGACACGCCCACCGGCAAGCTTCAACGCACGCCGCCGTCTGGACGCTGCGTAAGCGCGCCACAGTTTCGCCGCTGCGAGGCTCCACCAAGCCCCCAGGAAGTGCGCCGGACTCTGATGAAAATATTCGTTGTGTCCAAACGGCGGTACTACAATTTCCGTATCAGTCCGTGACGTCACTGGGCCCAGAAAGACTTTTCCCCATTGACTAACATTGGGAAAGAGACGTCTGTAAATCAGCGGATACTTTTTTTTAAACTAAATAAACTACCCAGTATGAACTATTTTATAGCCCTTATCAGAATCATTCGGTCCTTAAAGTTGTAAAATGCACTAAAAGCCGAATCTAGATTTATTTTCTGTCTCCATTCATTCTACTGAGCCGAGAGTGGGAGCTCGGGGGGCGGGGCTTAAGGGATGCATGCTCTGTGAGTGCACATACGGGGTGTTTCTCAATCGCGAGTACGCTTGCTTGGTAGCACATGTCTGCCGAGCATCTTGCTTCAGAAGCGAGGCAAGAATACTTCCTGCCATTCGGAAAACAAAGAGTGGAACAGGCTAGCAAGTGTGCAGGTGTGCGTCATATGAGAGGCCCCGCCTTACATCTTCCGCCACAGATTTGGGGAAATTGGTCCGTGCGCAAAGCATTGTGGGGATTTTAAGACCGCGGAGTCTACTCATGTGCAGCCTCGATATTTCTCCAAACGGAGTACGCCGGGCTCGGTAGATTTCCAAGTATGCTGGAGATTGGAACAGTACTTCGGCGGCACTCGATGACGTAGTATGCTTGAAATAGTGGCTCTGAAGCAGCTTTACTCGCGATTGAGAAACACCCACTGGCTCTTCTGCTCTGACAGCTAGGCATGATGGGTAATCTGTGACGTTTCGCTCTCTCAAAGGTTGGGCCATTTTGTCCTCATGCACCAATAGAGAGGCGAAGTCCCTCCCCTTCCGGGGACCTCCATGGGACCTTATTTTGGAAAAAGTATGTATTGAAGTCAATGGAGAGAGAAAACGTATCTTTCGTTCCCGTTTGAATTGTGCCATGAATTACACATATGATGTTTGTCAATCTTAAAAAACAATTTCCATGTCAAAAAAGTCACAGTTTGTCGTAAAACTGTTGAAATATAAGACTATGAAAAATATGCAACTAGAAAGACTACAAATCCAAGAATCCCGGTCCCGCATGCTGGCTCTTACGGAACCGACTAATGCGGCTTTCACACCAGCGCTTTTCCCTTTCTAGCTCCTAGCTAGAGCTTTTCTGGTTCAGCTCCGGTTTCCCTTTTCAGCTCCCGCTCTGTTCACACCGCCCAGCTGCCGCTGCTGCGTCATGACGTCACCGTTTACATCGCTGATTTTCTCCCCAACGGAGCTCGCAACAACAACAACGGGGGGAGGGACTGCATCGGGTCGATGATCGTGTTGCTTTTAATCATACGAAGCCAGATTAAATTAAATAACGACTTCTCCAACCTTATACTTTTCTCCAGAGTGCCGTGGTTCATTGTTTATTAATGTGTTTCAGCGGCATTTACCGACCGCTGCAGTGCTGGCTGCTCTTCCACGGGAGTTTATTCTCCCGTTAGCTCCGGGTTAGCTCACACGGCTCTAAAGTATTCACTGTCTGACTGTCACACAAGCAGCTGATACATATCCCCAGTTCCCCTTAAGTGAATGTGTGTCAGTCTGAATTGACGCTGTTTGGCATCACAACGCTGTTATGAAAGTTTATCTGGTATAATATGGGTGATGTTAGCATAGCAACCGAAGATAAACTGACTACTTGCTAAGCCGTTTTCTACAGGCACATTTTACCGGCGTATTTTTCATTATGATTCTACTTGTGATAGTCGGACATGACAACCTGTGCAGCCCATGTATTGATTCCATCCGATAGCTGCTATAATAACAAACAAAACGTCTGCCTGCTCTCCACAATGATCAATAACAGCGAACGGATGGTCAAAGTAAGGTACAAATAAACAGAATCACACGAAGCCTGGTTAGTGTTGCCTGACTTTATAAAGTGTGTTGTTTTTTTTTATAAGTGTGTGGTTGCCTTCTAGTCACTTTGCTCAGCGCTACTGCTTGTAGGCAGGCATAACGAGACTCTTCAGTCGACCCATATTCAGGGGAGGTGGGTTTAGTTTCCTGCACGCCTCAGACGTAAGCGACGCCGCGTCATAGCTCCGAAGCTCTTGCCTCTAGACCGACAATTTTTTGGAGCTGGAAGTGAACCGCATTCCGGAGCTATGACGCGGCGCCGCTGCGGTGTGAACAGGAAAAACCGGCGCTTTTCCAGCTCCAGCTCCGAGCCGGAGCTGGAAAAGCGCCGGTGTGAAAGGGGCAAACTCCCCTTGTGTGTATGTACAGCTCTCAACATGCCCAGACTTGTAGAGATTTTCACCTCTTTTAATACTTTTCGCCTCATTCTGAAAGAAAGAAGTGAAATGTGCCAACGTGACGGCCGTCTTGGTGTGTGGTGTGAGACGGGAGATGTAGTTCATTGAGCGGTTTCACGCAAAAAAAAGGGTTACTTCACAGTTTTGCGACACATTTTTATTTTTTTAACTTGCAAAATTATATTTAAGATTGACAAACATCATATGTGTAATTCGTGGCACAATTCAAACGGGATCGAAAGATAATCTTTCTCTCTCCATTGACTTCAATACATACTTTTTCCGAAATAAGGTCCCATGGAGGTCCACCGGAAAGGGAGGGACTTCGGCTCTCTATGAGCAGCTCTCATAGGAAAGAACGAGACCCCGCCTCCGACGCTGTATCCAGTTCTTATTATACATCCATGGGCTCGACTATCATACCCCCTCCCACCCCCAGCGCGTCACAGTTTCGCCGCTGAGAGAGTGTGGGTGTTTCTCAATGTCGAGGACGCTTGCTTGGTAGCACATGTTGTCACGATCTGTCGGTGTTGTGTTTTGTCTTGTCTTTTTCTGGTTTCCTGTTTTGTTTTGAAATGTTTTCCTCGTGTCTTCTCTGTTCCTTCTTCCTGTGTTTGCCTTCCTGTCTTAGTTTCCCTGGTGTGTCTGATTGTTTGATTGTGTTCACCTGTTGCCCTTGTGTTTCTGCCTCCCTTACCCCAGCTGTGTCTCGTCTTGTGATTACCCCTCTCTGTATTTAGTCTTGTCTCTTCCTGTGTTCCCCTGTCGGTTCATTGTTTGTTTCTCCTGTCTCCCACCATGTTGGTCATGGTCAGTTTTCTATAGAACCTATGTGTTTCATGCCATGCTATTGTTCAGCTTTAGAATAAAGCTCGTTTTTGTTTCGAGACCGTTTACCTTTTCTGTAAGGATGCGTGGAAGGGTAGGACCCAAAAGCAGACTATCAGAAAAGGTAAACGGTCTCGAAACAAAAACGAGCTTTATTCTAAAGCTGAACAATAGCATGGCATGAAACACATAGGTTCTATAGAAAACTGACCGTGACCAACATGGTGGGAGACAGGAGAAACAAACAATGAACCGACAGGGGAACACAGGAAGAGACAAGACTAAATACAGAGAGGGGTAATCACAAGACGAGACACAGCTGGGGTAAGGGAGGCAGAAACACAAGGGCAACAGGTGAACACAATCAAACAATCAGACACACCAGGGAAACTAAGACAGGAAGGCAAACACAGGAAGAAGGAACAGAGAAGACACGAGGAAAACATTTCAAAACAAAACAGGAAACCAGAAAAAGACAAGACAAAACACAACACCGACAGATCGTGACACATGTCTTCCGAGTCACTTGCTTCAGAAGCGAGGCAAGAATCCTTCCTAGCCTCGGAAAACAAAGAATTGTGGAACAGGCTAACAGGTGTGCAGGTGTGTGTCATATGAGAGGCCCCGCCTTAAATGGAGCGCTATTTCTGCCAAAGATTTGGAAATTGGTCCGTCTGCAAAGTATTGTGGGGATTTTAATACCTCGGAGTCTACACATGTGCAACCTCGAAATGTCTCGCTACGAAGTATGCCGGCCTCGGTAGAATTCCAAGGCTGCATCTCAAGTTGGTTATTTTCATTTCCTCGCTCCCCGCTCCTCGCTCCTCGGTATCACCGGAAGTTGATTTGTCTGCGCCATCTTGAGTAGCGTCCCATGACGCTTATTTCTGCCAGGGGATCGAGGATCGAGGTGCGATAATGGAGGAGCGATAACCGAGGAACCACCAGACCATCCTGGGGCAGCATAGACAGGTCTTTTCTGTGTTAGAGTTTTACTCCCTCCAGGGTGTACTTTGAGGGTTTGTGACTTCGCAGACCGTTTACATGCATAAAAACCTTCATAACACACAAGGGGACGGGTAATAACCGGAAAAGCATGACATGGGACCTTTAAAACCTCTCTCCAACATTAACTTGCAGAAATGGAAAACAAATTGAGCTGAACAGCTATGGTTCACTGATTTCTAATATACCACAAATGTGTCTAAGTTAAATATATAATATATCATGTAAGAATACATAATGTAAAACATTCACTGTTGCGAATACCCCTATAAACTCCCTGCCTGTTCAAATATGTTTCATGATGATGGAGATGATGGAGTTTCATAGCCTCCGTTACTTTTCTTACTACTATATTACATTCAAGCAAGTTTTTCATGAGCTCATCTTGCACCGACCTCACACGAACCTCTTTTCCAGAAATGGAGCACGAAAATGTCAAACTCAGGGTTTTTTGTCCTATCAGAGACACTGTAGCAGCCGAAGCACTACTTGTTACTGCAATATCCTTCCGCTGAGAAATATAGATTGGATTAATGTTAACATTTTGTATCGGTTATTGAAAAGAAATGTGCACATAGCAGATGGTAAATACAATGTATGTTATCCAAACATTAAGTCAGTCAACTGAGAGTGCATAGTCAACGAAACTGAGCATGTTAAGTTAATCAGTGAAAAATAGTCCGGCTGTATAAAATCAGTTTGCATCGCCATCAGCGATCTTTCCAATCGCATGCTACAGTTGGGAACGCATCATGTCTAGCGATGCTGCTGATTACAACAGGTATTAAACATTTATTCTGTCTTTATTTTAGAACAATAGTAGATGCTTAGGTGTACTTAAGCGTGCTATGGTGGGGTGCACTCTGTATATTCCTAATGATGTATTACCTCGATAGTTAGGCCTTTTTACATATGTGGTTAGGCCTCAAACGCTGAGGACGATGCTAATAATTAGCTTTCCAGCTAACTAATACAAATTGCCGTTACTAGCCATGTGAAACCTTGTAGGCTACTGTATATAGCTTATTCCTTATGACATTCATAAAAACCGAGTTGCATTCTTTAAAAAAACGTTCTGCTGTCATGGCCGGTGGTTTGAAGTCACAGGGACAGTCAGGCCAGGCTACAGCTCGGCCTTGTTCTGAGGCAGGAGAAGCCCCCTTCGGCACCACAGGCCCAACTGTCCGACATCTTGCTCTATGCGTTTCATACGATAATTTAGTTTAATGACAGCGGGCGGGGGAGCAGTTCATGTATCGATTGTCCGTTAGCGGGAAGATTTAGAGACGCAGTTAATTAAGCCCTCGTGGGATGTTACACGTGCGCCCAGGCAAGCCCAACGCTCTGTAATCGGACTCTTTGGGCGTAACCCTGTATATTACTGTAAAACCTGACGTAGTTTTTAAGTTTAACATAGCTTACAATTAACAGAAGTCGATTTTAAAAAAAAAAGAAAAAAAAAAAAAAAAAAAGCGACTTGATATGACACGTGGTAGTGATGGCACGTTGTAGTAACCAGTTAAGTACTCTCTCCCCAAGACACCGTTCATATTTATCATTTTAAATTGACTAAATGTTGTATTACCTTTTTCCGTATAAAGCTCAAAGGAGAGAGACCATGGGGGACCAGATGGAATGGACCCTGAGGGTGTCATCGAGGTAAGTGCATGAAAACATTACATTGTCTTTTTGCAGATTTAGCCACACATTTGTATCCTGACTTGTACAAACTTTGTTTCTTTACTTCAGAGCAACTGGAATGAGACAACTTTGATGATATGAACCTGAAGGAGACCCTTCTCAGGGGAATATATGCATATGGTTTTGAGAAGCCATCTGCTATTCAACAAAGGGCAATCATGCCTTGCATCAAAGGTACAAAAACATATTAAACTGATAAACAAATAGTCTATTCATGTTGAGTGAAATGATGCTTTACCATCTTTCGGGACTTACCAAATTATGGGGATATTTTTTTACCTTACTGATCACTCAATACTGAAACTTGATAGTTATGGTCTTTCCAGACCATAGTTCATTCTGTTGAATTGTAAAATGTTTTTCTTTTTCCGTATAAAGCTCAAAAGAGAGAGACCATGGGGGACCAGATGGAATGGACCCTGAGGGTGTCATCGAGGTAAGTGCATGAACAAATTACATTGTCTTTTTGCAGATTTAGCCACACATTTGTATCCTGACTTGTACAAACTTTGTTTCTTTACTTCAGAGCAACTGGAATGAGACAACTTTGATGATATGAACCTGAAGGAGACTCTTCTCAGGGGAATATATGCATATGGTATTCAACAAAGGGCAATCATGCCTTGCATCAAAGGTACAAAAACATATTAAACTGATAAACAAATAGTCTATTCATGTTGAGTGAAATGATGCTTTACCATCTTTCGGGACTTACCAAATTATGGGGATATTTTTTTACCTTACTGATCACTCAATACTGAAACTTGATAGTTATGGTCTTTCCAGACCACAGTTCATTCTGTTGAATTGTAAAATGTTTTTCTTACTTAGTAACATTTGTCCCCTTGCCATCAGGCTATGATGTCATTGCCCAGGCCCAGTCGGGCACTGGCAAGACGGCCACGTTTGCCATCTCTATCTTGCAGCAACTGGACATTGAGCTGAAGGAGACTCAGGCTCTGATGCTGGCTCCCACCAGAGAGCTGGCTCAGCAGCTATGCTGTTTCTGAAGTCACAGTGACCTCCACAGTATCTCAGACCCTATACAGCATATTGAGGACACTGATTCAATACCTAAGGTACTTTCTTTTTCGTTTTCAAAGCTTTAAAAATTGTGACGCACAGTATCCTCGTCAGATTGGTGTAGTCTCTGTCCATGGCTGCATCGGTCTAAAATCTGGCTGCTATTTGAATTGATTGTGGTTTCAATATTTTTATGTTGCTGTGGAAAACTGGGTGAAATGATGCTTTACCATCTTTCGGGACTGACAATGCAATGGAGATGTCTTTTTAACTTTACTGATCACTATGAACAGTTCTTCCACACACTGTTGAAATTGTCATGTGCCATCTGATCTACACATTATCCTGACAAGATGTTGTGTCTTTTTTTGTTTTGCTTCCGTCTCCTCTTAATAGATCCAGAAAGTCATTCTGGCTCTGGGTGACTACATGGGTGCAGCCTGTCATGCATGCATCGGTGGGACCAATCTCCGTACTGAGATCCAGAAGCTGCAGGCGGGGTGTCCTCACATCGTGGTGGGCACACCGGGTCGCGTATTCGACATGCTTGCTACCTCTGTAAGTTCACTCCTGGTCAACACAGTATGCTCAAAATGTTTCATAACTAAATGCTCTTTTTTTTAAATTAAAAATTTCTGTACAGCTGCTAAATGCATCAAGATGTTTGTTCTGGATGAAGCTGATGAGATGTTGAGCCGAGGGTTCAAAGACCAGATCTACGAGATCTTCCAGAAGCAGAGCACAAACATTCAAGTAAGAATTCTTTGACTTAAAGTAAAATACTACAAATATTGATACCTTCTGCATTAACAGAACACTGCTATAATTGTGTGATCCAGATGTAATCTGTTTCATGCAATAATGCTAGCAGAGTATTGCGTGGAAGAAGATTGTTAGCCACTGTATTGAAAATGAGATGTGGTGGAACCTCTTTCTTAATGTTCAGTGGCCTCTGTCTCAAGGTGCAGTGCAACACTTAATTCTGCATTTAAATGTTTTACTTCTGCAACTCTGTCTCTACTCGGCTCAGTATTTTTGATCTTTTGGTAACATGTCGTCTCCTACAGGTGGTCCTGCTCTCTGCCACCATGCCAGCAGAGGTGTTGGAGGTGACCATGCATGAACCCATTCGCATCCTGGTGAAGAAAGAAGAACTTACCCTCGAGGGTATCAAGCAGTTCTACATAAATGTGGAGCGAGAGGTGGGTTATCTTCAAAATTACACTGTTCTGACTATGAAATGGCCCCTTCTCTAAAGCACCCTGCTCAAACTGCAGGAGCCAAGCCTTCGGGTTTAGCTCATGTGGCCGTGTTAGCAGTGGTACACCAGGGAAGGACAATAAAGGCACAGTGTCGCAATTGAGTCTCTGGGGGACCTCTTTCTTAATGTCCAGTCCCCTTTGTCTCAAGATCCTGTGCTACACATAAGCTGCTCAGTTCCATAAAGATTAGTAGGCATTACGACCTGTTACTTTGTTCAGTTGACAAAAAATAACGTGACTATTTTCCTGGCTGTTTCCAGGAGTGAAAGCTGGACACCCTGTGTGATCTGTATGAAACACTGACTATCACCCAGGCGGTCATTTTCCTGAACACCAGGAGAAAAGTGGACTGGCTGACTGAGAAGCTGCACGCTAGAGACTTCACTGTCTCTGCTCTGGTATGCTGGGTTCTCTGCCTGCTGGGCTTTACATCTTTGTTGGATCAACTGGTAGCAAGGCTGCAGAGTTTCCTAACTTGAATACATATTTTTTGCAGCATGGTGATATGGACCAAAAGGAGCGTGATGTCATTATGAGAGTTCAGGTCTGGCTCAAGCAGAGTGTTGATCACTACTGATCTTCTGGTGAGTGTTAAGTCTTATGTAATGGTGAAAATTGAAATGTAAGAAACCCCAAATGGTGTCAAATCTGCAACAGTCCTAAAATGGCCAAGCAGTCAAAACTTTTGGGAGATTAGTGCTCGTTCTCCACAATGGATTCTCCGCCTGTAGAATGCTGTTACTTATAAACGAGCGACATTAACTCACACGATGTATTAGCCATGTCCTGCTTTAGTCTTGAATGTAATGTGGAAATGCCCTCTTTTTCTCAGGCTCGTGGCATTGACGTCCAGCAGGTTTCCCCATGTCATATTATGACCTCCCTACAAACCAACTACAAATGAATGTGGCCGACCTGATTTGAGCACTGAGATTATTCTTTTTTTTTTTTTTTTAACTCAGTGATGGCGATCGTCCACTTGCATTGTGCTTATATTCGAGGGTGGGAAAAAACAAACTTCTCAATGATAAACTTTGGCTCAGAATCTTTGTTATGTGTTAAAAGCGATGCGACTTCTATGGTGGTCTCTCTCGGACAGTTGTAGATTCTAAACTCAAACCATGGGTTCTGTAAAGGTTCTTATCAGGTATTTCTTTCCATGTTCATTTAAGATATGTGTATTAGGTGTTCTCCACCATTTAGTAACTTACTTGTGGACTAAAAGGTATAAGTGCTGTATAAAGTCTGCAAATTATGTTATGCTAACATATGTTCGGTGTATTGTGGGTACCAAATATTTGTATTTTATACCACTTGCTCTATCAGATTTCCTCACTGGTTACGTTAGTTTTACCCTCACCAGAGTACACTGCTACTGCTCTTCAGATTTCCCTCTACAGAATTGTATGAATGCTTAATAAAATTGCTGTTATATTTGCTTGATCTGTCATGCAGTGTTAATTTAAAGGAGAGTTGTATTGAAGTGAACCTGTTTGGTAGAAGTCTTCATGTAATGGACCTAAAAAGTCTCCATGAATTGTATAAACATGGCATTTTTGGTTGAAGCATCATGGCCTATCACTAGTATAGTTGTGCAATACTTGGGAAACAGTGCCACCTACTGACAAGCAGCAGTGAAATATAGTGACTGGATAAAAAGGCTTGCACAGCAGTAAAAAACATGCATAGCAATGTTTTTTTATATTTAACTTGGAAAATCTAACTTAAAATCTTCGATTTGAATCTCATAACTTCCAATTCTCACACTCGTATTTCTGTACCATTACGTTTATTTAAATTGAGCAATTTAAAGTAGTATGAATGTCTCCATAAGGACATTCATGATTTTAAATAAAGATGCCAGGCCAAGTTTAATTTACAGACAAGGCAAGTTTATATGGCACCTTTCAACACAAGGCATAAAAGTGCTTTACAAAAATGAAAAACATATAAATAGTGTAGCAGGTACACATTGGTTGGTAGTCAATGGCATTTTAAAACAGTCATTTTAAAAGAGAATGTGGTGTAAGATATGAATAGTTCAATTAAAATCACAGGCACAAAGAAACGTCTTCAGCCTGCATTTATAAGGTAGGCTACCTCAAGTCATTTTACACAAAATTATGCAAAATAAAAAACTTCAAGAGTTGGAGTTCCCCAAGAAACCAAGAGGTCAAATACTTTTCGCCCATCATTTATAAGTTATTGGTTCCCTTTTTGTAGCAGAACATTGTATGGTAGTTATAATTCTTTTTCAGAGTTTGTGTCAGGAAAAAGAGGGCGTGTGTTTCCAGAGATGATCCAGAAAGATAATAGGCTTGTTTGAGACATAGGGTTTGAGATGAGCGAGACTGACGCAGCCGTCTTGCTAGTGCGTTGCATGATAGTTAGTCATTTTGTCCGACTTGCTCTGGAGGCTCGCCTACATGAGACGTTGAAATCTCGCGGGACAAAGACGCCCGCTTGAGAGCGAGGCGGCGCAGTTTCTCTCCACAGGCTGCGGAAGCGAAATGCTTGATGGGAAACGACTCGCCGGTATCGAGCTGAGCGCTCATTGGTGGTTTTTACGTTTGTTTTGTCAGTTTTACGTCGCCACTTCTATTCACATTTTTCATCATTGTTCCACAATGTTTATCATGAAATTAATATCTATATATTTTTATACTATACTTGCACTGCTTACCGTTTTCATACTTTATATATCTTAGCACATTCATACACACTGTTAATACTGTTCACACTGCTCATAGGCTACTGTGTATATCTAGTGTATTCATACCCCTCACTGTTTATTCATCATTCAATTCATTCTATATTTTATTCTGTAGATTGTGTACATTACTTTTCACTTACTGCTTTTTGCACTCCTGGTTAGAAGCTAAACTGCATTTCGTTGTCTCAGTAGGCTACCTGTAATCTGTGCAATAACAATAGAGTTGAATCTAATCTTGAGCAGGAACAAATGTATTTACTTGTATATCTGACATTAACGATTAAACACATTTGTGCATTCTTTAGAAGAGAGAAACTTGCTCTGTCATAGGCCTACTGGGTCAGGCTACAAGGAAGTGGAGAGGATTGCTGGGAATATACAAAGTTCCAGGGGCGTGGGTGTATGGAGTGGAGACCATAAAGTTTGCCAAAGCAAGCCCATTTACAGTAGCAGTGTTCCCCCATGGCTTTTCCCAGAAGCTAATATAGATGTGAGTATCATAGAAAGGAAAAAAGAGTGGCAAATAAATGAAGTGGGAATTAAAACGAGTATGTACCCGAACGAAAAGTATTACAATTACCTCAAAATGTATACAGATGGATCTAAGAAGCAAGAATGTGTTATTGAGACTTCAGAGGAGGGGAATAGATGTGCAGTTATGCTGGGTGCCTGCACATGAGGGGGTTCAAGGGAATGAGCATGCTGATAAGTTAGCAAAAGATGCGTTACAGAAGGAAATAGCAATACCAGTTTCACTTGGAAAAGGAGAAAGAAAAGCAATAATTAAGAAGAAGGGTATGGAAATATGGCAGAAAAGGTGGGAGGAAGATCAGAAAGGGAGGAGATACCACAAGTTACAGAAATCAGTCATAACAAAGATCTATACAGAAAGGAACAGACGGGAGGAGGTCACCATCACTAGACTCAGATTGGACCATAAAGGATTAAACGGCACAATGTTTATAATGGTAAAAAGCGAAGTTGAAGAATGCAGAGTGTGGAGTGAAAGAAAATGTGGAACACATCATATTACACTGCAACATGTACAAAACAGAGAGGGGAAAACTAAGAGACAGGGTCATAGAGGCAGGAAGGGAGTGGAGTCTGATGGGGATACTGGGAACAGAAGGTGAGGGGGTCAGAGAGGCAGGAAGGGAGTGGAGTCTGATGGGGACACTGGGAACAGGAGGTGAGGGGGTAAGAGCTACCAGGAAGGCCATTCTTAAGTATTTGAGTGAAACAGGATTGAGTGGAAGAATTTAAAACAACGTACATACAGTGGTATCATTCCACAAATGGTGATAGGATGATATGGTGATACACACTCTTGTACAGTAGGTGGCGGTATGCACCTTAAAGTTGTTTGCAATCCGCCAAAAACCGAGAGAAGAAGAAGAAGAAGAAGCCGACTCCGTGGGTGTTTCTCAATCGCGAGTAAAGCTGCTTCAGAGCCACTACTTCAAGCATACTACGTCATCGAGTGCCGCCGAAGTACTGTTCCAATCTCCAGCATACTTGGAAATCTACCGAGCCCGGCGTACTCCGTTTGGAGAAATATCGAGGCTGCACATGAGTAGACTTCGCGGTCTTAAAATCCCCAGAATGCTTTGCGCACGGACCAATTTCCAAAATCTGTGGCGGAAAATGTAAGCGGGGCCTCTCATATGACGCACACCTGCACACTTGCTAGCCTGTTCCACTCTTTGGGTGTTTCTCAATCGCGAGTAAAGCTGCTTCCGAGCCACTATTTCAAGCATACTACGTCATCGAGTGCCGCCGAAGTACTGTTCCAATCTCCAGTATACTTGGAAATCTACCGAGCCCGGCGTACTCCGTTTGGAGAAATATCGAGTGTGCACATGAGTAGACTTCGCGGCCTTAAAATCCCCACAATGCTTTGCGCACGGACCAATTTCCCCAAATCTGTGGCGGAAGATGTAAGGCGGGGCCTCTCATATGACGCACACCTGCACACTTGCTAGCCTGTTCCACACTTCGTTTTCCGAATGGCAGGAAGTATTCTTGCCTCGCTTCTGAAGCAAGATGCTCGGCAGACATGTGCTACCAAGCAAGCGTACTCGCGATTGAGAAACACCCCGAGCTGTCTGACTTCAGGCGAGCTTTTTGAGACCTCCCCTATGGGATTAGTTTTGTTTCATAAAGATAAAGCAAAAAATGAAACTATAAGTTGCAAACAAATCATTTGTGTAATCATGTAAACTATAAGTCTTTTTTCTTTGTTTTAACATAGGTTTTTGTTTGCAGTTCTCTTTGCTTCTTTCTCAATGATCAGACTTTTGCTCTCGCTGCAGCTCTTCTCGTTTGCGCTCCTTCATTTTTTGTTTTCAATTCTGACACAAACGTCCCAGGTGGGCGGGACTTTCAGGGCTACTCATTTTTTGAGTGACAGCCCAGTCCTCCAGCGATTGTACAGTGCAGGCAGCTGCGGTG